ATATCAATAGATGGAAGCACTGCTGTCCATTCTCAAAATGGCCTAATGTGTCAACGCCATTAACTGTCCATTGATTATTAGAATATATTTTCAATGTACTTATAGCAAGCAAAGGAGTTCAGTTAATGTGTGAATGATTTCACTTAGTAGCTCAATACTTGTATTATTGATTATCTGTGGGGCTTTGGGTCATTTTGAATTTATTGTATAAAATAATTAAGATTTATTTTCTTGTTAAAAGTGATAATGCCTCTTGAAGTCACAATATGCGATCTTAATTTCAAATATTATACTTCATGATTATTATTCTGCACTTGAGTGCTATTGTTTTTACGCACGGAAGTCAGATACTTACTGTTGTTTTTCAGTCAAATGACAATCAGCTATCTTAATAAAACCCAGACGAATAGACGTAGAAGTAGGGGAGGGACCTATTGTTGTATGGTATATCCTAACTGGGTGTTCTGTTTTTAAATTTGGGTGGTCCGAGGCCGAAATCATCATTATAAGTAATATTCATAAACATCGAACCCACATTTTGAAAGGTCATCTAATTTACCTTAAAAGAAGATCTGTTTGTAATGATAATAAAGGAATAAAAAGAAAAGTTTATGAAATATTCTGAGATAATATTTTATCCATTAGATATAAAATGGTCTTTAAAACATCAGAACATTTGAAGTTTTATAAGAAGAAAACTATCATATATTTGTATAAATGTGAATGAATCCAGGATTGTCGTCTATCAGCGAACATAATTGAAGACATATTTCACTTGGTAGACGGATATCTTTCAACATTTAGAATTTTATGTTCACCGATTTGGATTATTTGGGTATTTTCTCATTGTTGTATTTCTCCCAAAGTAAGTAAAAATAGTATATGACAATCCTAGATTCAAGGGATAGATTTTTGCAATAACGAATGTCCAAATTAAAACCACATATTTTGAAAATAACTGCGATTTTAATTGCCATTTTTGTAACCGATTCTAACTATCAGGAGTGATGGCCTGCAGCGCTTACAAGGAAAGTGCAATAATTGTTCTGACGGAAACCCACGGTTCACCATTGTACACATTGGTGTGCATATAAAAGAGCCCTTGCAGAAATGAAAATCACTATGTGTTGGTCTCAAAATGACTGGAGTTTGTGTTGATGATAATTTTAAATACTGTCCCATTATGGCCGCATATATATACTTAGCCTAAAGAATTTGAAGACATTTAGAAACATGCTTTTCTGCGAAAGTAGCTCCGCCCGTCATGGTTCAACTGCATTTATAATTAATTAAAAAATAAGATTTTTAATGTCAACACTCCCACATATCTTGCGAATATTTAGACATTTTTATAAAGTAACCCATAATTAATTCAACCATAGAAAGATAATTAGGCCCTGACAGAACGTGGTGACATATGTAACAATGTGGCTTACAATGTATGTGTTTTGTCCTCCATGTTTCTGGTTAGTAGTCCTATGTGATTTGGGGGGTTGGATGGCCGAATGGTTCATGTGCGTGTTGTATCATATGTCTGTCATTGAGTCAACTGGTCTGGTTTCGATTTCCCGGTTGTACGTGAAAAGGAGTAGGGTTTTCTCTGAGTCCTATGGTTTCCTCCCAATGCTAAAGACCCCAATGTGCAAGCGAATTATTTAAATAAAATTGAACCATATGTTAGTCCCGAAATGACCTAGTTTGTGTCAAGTGTACGTTAAACCCTCTTTCTTCCCCCCCCCCTGCCTTACATGCTTCAGTCCTCCAGCAGATATTATTATGATTTATATATTTAACACATATTTCCACATATCTTACAAATATTTATAAAAATTTAAAAAGTACAGAAAGATCATGCATGTATCTAACAATGTGGCTTACATGTTTCTGGTTATATTAGTAGTTGTATGTGCTTCAGTCCTCCAGCACTTGTTATCATCATATATATAAATATTTACAGAAGGCGCATTCATATATTTTGACAATGTGGCTTACAATGTGTGTGTTTTGTCTTCCGTGTTTCTGGTTAGTAGTTGTTGTATGTGGTTCAGGCCTCCTGTACTTATTATATTAATTGGCATTTCTGTAAGATTACCTGAACATGCTCGACAAGAATGGTAAACATGAAAGAATTATTACTTATAGATTGTAATTAGTTATTGTGGGGTTATTTCTGTGCGTTAAGTCAAGATTTTTATTTATGATGGCAGACGTCCAGGTATATAGAGAACATTAACGCCTGTCTATCACCCAATCAAACTGGGAGGCAAGGAGAACAGTAGTTCGTTCATTCCATTAACCACAGAGTGGCCCAAATTCAACATGTCAGACATACTTCCTCATTTCTGACACCAGATTAACGTAAATTTCCTTTGAAGCGCAAATGAAAGAATTATACAGATGGAAAAGTAAGCTGAAATGATGAAAAGTAATATTTCATTAGTTGACAGGCGAAGACAGACTTTATCTTCCAGTTTCTCAACTGATGATTGAATTCCAGAAAAAACAAACAAATTGTCGACCAATTTCCTTCTCCTTCTGTTCTGTTAATTACATAAATTACCCAAACTTACAGCCAAATACACAACTAAACTTCCAATATATACAAATACACAGTTAAACTACAGGTCAGGCAAACAACAGTTGAACTACAGATATAGGCTACACCATACAAATGCACAGTTTTACTGCAGATATACACTTGTTAAACTACAGATATACACCATTTAAACTACAGATACACAATTATACTAGAGATATAATATATACAAATACACAGCTAAACTACAGATACATAGTTAAACTACAGACATACAACACCATAACTACAGATACACAGTTCTCTTACTGATATATACAAATACACAGCTCAACTACAGATACATGCAAATATGCGATGCAAAGGTGTTCACTATTATAGTAAAATGAAATGAAATTGGGTTTAACATCTCTAGCAACTGGCCGAATGCAGACAGACCTAGCAGTGTGCTATGAAGCATGTTTTGAGGGTGCATTTATTTGTGAGTGTCAGAAAAATCCTCCTTGAAACTGATGCCCTGTTAATTTTTTTTACAGAGCTACATTGCACATAAATAACACCGTAAACATCCATGTGCCTGACAAAAACCTTGTTCTTGAAACTATTGCCCTGTTAATTTTGTTAGAATTACCTTTTTATTGAACGACTACACACATATATTTCACATAAATCACTTAGAAATCTCCGTGTAGGTTATAAAACTTTGCCCTTGAAACTGATGCCCTGGTTTTTTTTTAAAAATTACCCCTAAATTATTGCACGGCTGCATATATGTATACAAAATTGATGCCCTGTTAATTTTTTTAAAATTACCCACTTATTGCATGGCTACACATATATATTGCACATAAATTACATCCCAAATCTCCATGTAGCTGACAAAACCTTGTTGATCCTAATTTATAGACAGCACGTCTGTTTTTAAATCTGGCGACTTGTAAAATTCGGTGCAGATTCATTATGTGTTGTGAAATGAAAACGTAATTTTTCTGCCATATTTAAGATGAGAATCTCATATTGTCTAAGTGTTATATTGCATGCTGTAAATTATTTTTAGTATATTGTGTTTACACCCTGGACCTTCAGAAAAAAATGATGTGAAAATACTGATGTATGTTTGAACTCTTTGTGTTTAAAAACGGGTTGTATTCTACGTAATTATTAAGTGATTTTTCTTCGTCTTGTTGAAGACATACCGTTATTTTTGGTGTGGCTATTTTTATTCTGTTTTGCTTAATTTAGCAGACGTCAGTTAGTGCAAATATGCATATTTGTTCATCTGATTAAAGAAGAGAGGGCCGTATTTATGCAAAATTTTAATCGGCCATGAACTAATGCTAGGCAAAAAACTTTTTTCTAAATGGGATCGTGAAGACGATTTTTACATTCATATGGACGAAATTAATTGCGGCTTAACGTCTTACTTTTTTGCACAATACTAGTTCGATCCATGCATTGGCCGAGAAAGTTTATCTTGATTTTCCGGCATGGTTTCCCCTTGTCAGTGGTGCAGGACAGATGGCCTGACAAGGAAAGCCGTCCAGTCGTTCGGATGAGACGAAAAACCGAGGTCCCGTGTATACATTGGCGTGCACATAAAAGATCCCTTGACAGTTGGAATTCGATATAAGAGTAGGCCATAGTGCCGCTACCTGGGCAAAATTTCCCTCATAGCACACTGTATGACGTATGCTCGTCTTCATTAGCCCAGTCAGAGTAGAACATTAGGATGTTAAACCCCATTTCATTTCATTTCCAACAATACTAATAAAGATGGACCTATGCCATGTAGTGCTTACTTTTTGTAGAATTCCGCTGTCAAGGGTTCTTTTATTTGCATGGCAGCGTGGACCTGTTTCGATTTCTTTTCTTTTTTTGTAAATGCCAGGCCCATCATCCTGCACCACTGACAAGGAGAAACTTCTGTAGTAAGAAGATCCGAGAAGCTTGTATTTATGCAACATTTTAATAAGATATTAATGCCAGGTTAAAAATGGGATCACGAAAAAACATTTACAATCCTACTCACAAGTAGCCATGCATATTTATTCGTCCGTAGAAAAAAGAGATGGCATTAATCATGTAAGAATTTACTCTGCCACAAACTAAAATATGTACTGCTACTGAGACATTAATGTTTGGCTAAAAATGGTTTTCTAAATGAAATTGTAAAAAAACCTTTTATGTTATACATGGTGGTATGGCCATGGTGGTATAGTGTGGTTTGTGGGGGTGGCGATATTTTACAAATAATAATATTTCTTAATACCAGATTAATATTCTGTTCATAATCTATTGTACATGCATCTTGTTCACTTTATTTTTTTCTTTGATTTTTGCTTACTCAAAATGCATGTTTATCTATTTGGTGTAAAGAGTTTCCTTTTTCAAAATTATGAAGCTATGTTTTAGTTCATTACACCTTTCAATTTGTTATATTGAGTTTGTTTTTTTATATTTTCAGAAGTAAGAATGGTTTATCTAATTCCCAAGCCTCCGGATTAAAGTAAGTTTTTATTTAAATGCTAAATTAATTTGACAAAAATAATTAAAGGGACATTATGTAAGGTTTTGATAAAGAGCTGGATGTTCTTGCTATAATATAATAATGCAAAATGAATATATTGAAAATTTCAGTCAAATTACTTTATTTTGAGCGAAGTTATCAATGGTTGTAGTTTTGACAAGATGTGTGCATTGATCATAACCACAGTAGTGGTCATTTGAGTCTTGGCCTCGCTTAAATTAAATCATTAAATGTCCGAACAGTTCTAATCTACTTAAATCGGCACCATCCGATGGCATCAAGGGTTGATTGTGGTCTTGTTGTGTTAGTAAATGTCTAATTAATAATTTATATAACATCTCAGGCCCAAAGAAAGACCTGCAATAGGTAGATTTAACTCTTACATGATGCCTTTTTAATATAAATATATTGGTGATGTTCTTTATATATAAAGATAATTAATTCAGAATAAATTTCAACTCCCCACACATTGAAAAAGGTATGGTGTGGGTGCTTTAGATCAAAAGGTCTTTCGAGTGACAAGGTGTATAGGGTTGACGGCGTAACTTTGTGGCTACATGAATCCTCGATTTTTCATCACATCCTGGCCAGGCCCTTCATCCTGGACCACTGACAACGGGAAACCACATAATATAAAATTCCATCACATGAAATAACTTTATATAAATAAAACTATAATAGATCATTCTAAAATTAATTTTTGTTGACAAAATTATAGCACTTCAGAAAAGAAAAAAAGAGATAAAACACATAAATTATGAAATTGTAAAAATAAGCAAGTTTTAAGAAGTGATTTAAAATTAGATAAGTCGGGACACAGATACATGGTCTTTCTAAATTATTCAGTCTGCTTCCATTGAGATGAAATTTATTCATTAAGTAATAATTCCAGTTTTCCAATTACCACTGAAAATATAAATGAAGTCATTACTATTTGAGCTTTAATTAATCACATATTTTGTAATCTCCATATCCTCAGGATGAAGAAATGGTAATATTACCATCTCAACCCTAGTTCGGTCAAGTGTTCGACAGCCATAGTTTTATTTTCATTATTAGTTACTAGAACTCTAATTAACTTACGATACTAATAATTTTTATAACCAAATGTGCTATGCCCTTAAACACCCTTTGACCCCTACTTGATCAGTAGGAGCTGGTACTCCAGATAGCCATTATCAGTGTTCGAAACAAAGACCATTAAATATTGGGTTCTAATTGAAGTTTATTATTGGTACTGAGAAGGAGAAATTATAATACTAATCGAGTTGACTGGTATTGTTATTGGAATGAAACGATGTCAGTCTTAAAGGGACAATTACACAGAATAAAAATCAAATATAGAGTTTTAAGCAGGCCTTTCATTTCAGTCAATATAATTGCATGCCATATATTTACAATTTCAGAGAATTTAATCTTAATACACAATAAATACAGTTAAATTTATTTTTTCATGAGTAAAAACAATTAAAAGATAGGGATAAGGCCATAGATTGTCATATTCTTTTGAAAATGAGGTACACAAAATGTGCCAAAGCTCAGGTTTAGAATAACATTTTGTTAATGGCTAAAATTTGATTTTAAATATTAGTTTAATATCGGAGGAACAAGATGAACTGGTGATTATTTTGAATACAAAATTTTTAACTTTTGACATAACTGTAAAATAGTACAATATTTTTAACTTTTGACATTACTGTCAAATAGTATTATAATTTGTTTTTAGACGTTACTGTCAAATAGATCCATACTTTTCACATTACTTTAAAGTATTACCATAAATTCGCCTTTAATGTTTTGAGATATTTATAAACCATTTGGTGTGCTGTCCCTTAACTAACAGTAAAAAGTACTGTAGAGAAAATTCATTGTTATTCAACTACTTGAACCAAGGTGTTAAGATGTATTAAATATTTTGACCTCCTATAAATTCCTGGCCTGACCATCTGGACTCGAGTTGTCAATCAGCTGGCAGTATTTCACTTTACTAGGGCATAAATTTTTAGAAAGTGAGATTTATTTTATTGCATTTAACTTTTTAGAAAGTGAGATTTATTTTATTGCATTTAACTGTTAGGTGAACTTTTTGTTAAATTTTCTTAAATTTTTTAACATTTATTTGTATGTAAATATATAGTTTATAAAAATAAAATTATATATGATAGACAAAAGATGAAAAGAGTGAGTTGTGTGAAATTCCCAAATAAATAATATGCAGGTGTCTTGTTTGAGGTTTGTCACAAAATGTTAAAAATTTAATTTGACCAATTTTGAGTTTCTAGAATAATTGTCTTCAAAATGGCTCTATTTTTAATTCCTGAAAGCTCAAAACTTAACAGAAATGAACTAAATTTGCTGATTTCCTGCTAAGGAGTCTTTATTGCTCGGTTTAATGAGTAATATTCAATTGTTCTTTTCTTAAAATTAATGTCATGTCATGGTAGATACCCACTTCAAAGTTAAACATCTTTACCATCTAATATATATGCACATGTCAAATAAAAATTTAAAGGTCTTAGTATTGTTGCATACTTGTATCTTGATTAGATCCATGCGTTTTATTTAGCCGGAGTTGATCACATTTAAATTGTAAACATACAAAGCTACGTACACAACACCACATAAAACAATGTATGGCGAAATGCATGAGAGCTTGGGCCCCAATGCAACTTGGTGGTCATATATGCCGATCTCTTGAGTGCTTATAATATCTTACAAATACAGGTAGGCTGAAATTGCTAGGCACCCATCGTCAATTTACATGCCATAAAAGTGACATATTTATTTATTTGAGAATCCAGCTTTATATTTTATTTTATTTTATTTTAGATTTTTAGTGGGAAAGGAGGAATGTGCGGATGTTATATATGAAGAACGAGCAGTAGATAATCATAATGTCCAAAAATCGTCATCACAACAACGTCAAAAACAGCACAAGTATCTTCCATCGAACTTGCAATTTATCGTCAAATTTCTATATAAATTAGAACATAGTAAAAAACATTCCTTATGTCGTCATCAAACAGGGTGTATGCACTATATTCTTCAGGTGAGATGTAGTCTTATTTACAATTATACCCAGGTGTTAGCCAAGAAAGCGTCTAAGGATTTTCCAGCCCGGTTTCCCCTTGTCAGAGGAGTTGGATGGAGGGCCTGGTAATACAGTTTCTAGTCGTTCATATGGGATGCAATACCAATGTCCCATTGACACACATGTAAAAGAACCCTTGACAATTGGGATTCTAAATAATTATGAGTAGGCCATAGGTCCGCTGTCAGGGCAAATTTTTCCTCATAACACACTGCATGATGTAAGCATTCATTAGCCCAATCTGTGAAAAAATTAATCCCCATTTCATTCCATGTCTCAAAATGACTGGATATGTCCTTTTGTGATTTTTTAAATGTATTTTAAGTGTATTATTATTTTACTTGGCCTAAGCTACATGAAGAAATGGTTATTTTCTGTAATTGGCTGAAATTTTTATGTTGAAGCTAAAACATCCCTTCATTGGTTATAGGTCAGGTTAGGTCAGGTCAACTAAATGTAGACTTCTTAATTATATAAAGATGTATAGTGAAAGCGTTGCTCTGTAAATGTGAAAATAAACAAAAAGCAAAGAAAAAACAAAACAGATGAAGCCAATAGCAATGCAGGCCGAGGACTTTGCAGTGCAGTAGATACTTACAGCCCCTCAGAATCATGCTTTTTACCCCCACAACATTTGGACATTTGGACTTTTTATCCCCACAACATTTGGACTTTAAAAATATGTTCTGTAAAAACAGTCTGAAAAGATGTACCGACTATTGGCCTAATTTGAGAAAAGTTTGGAAGAACAATTGAACAAACCTAATTTCTCATTCATCAGAAAAAACCCCAACATTTTCAAGAAAGTAAAATAGCAAAGTATTAAATTTTAAAGTTGTTTTTAAGAATTTGGTTGAGGTAGACATTGTTAAATCCAGCCTACAACACCTTGATTTTTAATATCCTTCCCACAAATTTTTGTTGATATAACTCGAAAAACATAACAACAACCCTACTAAAAATCCTATCAAACAAACAGCCAGTAGAGGTAGGGCTCAGTGGGCAGAAAAACATAATAAATAAACATTCACCTGTCATAAATCATACTTTTTGATACAATTTGACAGTTTTCATTGATAAAACTAATGTAGGCTAAGCTAGTTCATTATTAGCTACTACAATCCTGTTATGTACAAAATACTATACAAGTTATTATAGGCATTTGTTGTATTGTGACCGGTGTTTTAAATAGCTATACATAGAACCAGTGTATTATTATTCACTCATAAATCATATCAGATCTATTGGCGGCTTGACACTTTGATTAAAATTTGATAGATTACTTTTATAAACCAAATCTGAGTACTAGACACCAGTCACACAGTCAGATATTTTTATTTCCCAATGATTATGAATAATTGAATGAATATTTTGACATATGAAAACACATTGTAGTGTTTATCAGTTTATCTGTTCAAAAGAACAGCTCAACAAAAACTCCATTTCTGATTCTTGAATTGAAAATGAGTAAAATGAAAAGTGTCAAAATAGTTAAATGAGACTATACATATATGTTTAGAAAGTTGAACATTCTAAAATGAAAATCAGAAAAACAATTACAGTGTGTTTAAATTCGAAAGCATAAAAAAATCTTCTAAACATCTAAACAATAATTGTGTAATGAATGTTAATCAATTGATTAACTTTTATTTTCATATATCAAATTGTTTATGTTTAAATTAAATCTGATAAAGATTTTTATAAGAGTTGTACCGGTTTGTACACTCTCTCGGAATTAATAAACGTTTAAAATTCTAATAAAATACTAAGGAACAAAACAGGCTTATACATGAAGTTTGAAAAAGTTTGTACCATAAATTGAACATGTTTGTTTTATTTCCTTTTGTCTTTAAAGATAATATTTTTAATTCCTTGTCTCATAATCTGTTAATTAACATCTCTCCATATTTTATTCAAACAAGTTGTAATATAAATGTTTATAGCTTAAATACAAGTTTTAAGTGCATTGTTCAACGCAACCTAACCTAACATATTTAAACTATACAAGCTGTCATTTTTACGTGGTTTATGCGACTATGAAATAGTCGTAAAGATGCCAGAAATATGAGGTTATAATTAATATATGAGTCGGTGTTACAGCCTCAACACATCCACAAAAAATAGCTGGCTTTACACAGATGGTATTTTAAGCTCCAAGAATTAATGTTAATATAATGAGTTAAAGTTGGAAAAATGAAACTTCGGCTGTCTGTATACTGATACTGGGCTGTCATCCATCATTTTTGACAAGAACCTACCAAGTGTAATGAATGTAACATACCAACGATTCCTGAACCTAATGACGTTGTCTGTTGTGTAGGGGTTCATATAATATCGCTACACAGATGAGTGGTGGTTTTTAGTATAAGGGGAATAACTCTTATTAAACATACATATTATGCAAGAGCAAAATCTGCCTATTTCAGGTCTTTCTTTAAGCCTGAAATGTTATCTAAATTATTAATTAGACATTAATTAACTTATCCAGAGCATAATCAACTCTCGATGTCATCGCTAGCCTGCAATATTTATTGGATTAGGATCCGATTTGCTGCTCAACTTTCATTCATTATTTAATCATGAAATGGATAATCGAGACTATGTTTTTTATCGTACCGATATTAGTAATGAGGATCGAGGGAAGGTCGAAAATTCAATCGCTAAATTTTTGGTTCAGAGCGAATCAATTTAACGGAAATTTTCAGCAAATTCCCTTTACATTATCTAGTTTTTAACTATTATAGTGAGAACTGCCAGCTCTTTATCTAATCTCCCATAATGTATCTTTAATTAATCATAAAATTTATATATTTGACTATAAATAAGGTCTTATGTGAAGTGGTTCAATTCAACCACCCCCATTTCCTCTCAACCTTACTTTTACTTGCATTATTACTGCCCATTGCTTCAATTTATTGTAATTGTCCAGTGATTGAAGTTCATGTCTCCCAATGCCACAATTGACCAAAAAAGATACAATAACAGTGAATAGGATCTGATTTTATAGTCATTAGTTCAGAATTAGGAATTCTCCAACTTTTTTAAAAAGAGCTGGTGAAGTCCTTACCATTATTGATGGGTTTTGTCATAACAGCCATTTCACTCAAGTCAAGTATTTCATAATGGTTGACTTTCTGTGATGAAGCTACCATTTCTTGATTGGCTTCTCACATACATTTATTTATTTTACTTATTTTGGAATGTTGATTAAACAATATAATTTAACTACATATCACTTTTCTTCTTGATTTTTTTTCAGGGTTTTGTACGAATGTTTGGTATAGGATTTGCTATTCAAGCATGTGTTAAAGTGGTTTCATCATTCACTAAAATAATTCATCAACCAAAAGTATTATTTTCTACTCTGTTACATACAGATAGCTTTAAATTAGGGGCATTTCTAGGATCATTTTCTGCTGTGTTTAGGGTAAGTATTTAGTGAAATTAAACAGGATATACTTATTCTCATGCTTAGCCTACTATATTCCAGTAACCAGTGATAAAACGGAAACAATCTTTCCACTGGGCCGACTAGGATATACAAGAGAATTAATATGGCCTTTGCCCTTTGGTATAACAAATGCATCAAACACTTTTCATAGGTTTATGAAAACAAGGATATATTAATTAGATGGCCTAACGATGCCTTAAAAATGTTTTAAAATAGTCATAATCTTTTAGCAGCATATATTAGTAATCTTTTGGTGTTTTTAAGCTACTCTTAATGTAATAGGAATTTATATTTAAATATTGACTGTGGTTAATGCTTTAAAATTTTTGCCCTTTTCTATTGCAGGGATCTAGTTGTGCTTTACGCTGGTTACGTAATAAAGATGACAATAAGCATGGTATGGTGTCTGGTTTTCTAGCAGGTTGGATGATGTTATGGTACCGAAGTTCAACAATAGCGTTGTATATAGCTTCAAAATTAGTTGAGGTACCTTTAAAAACTTCTGCAAATATATATACATGGCCTGTTTCAAATATGTTCATTTGTGTCCTATAAGGATATCATCCTTGCAGATTTGTGTTATTGGTGGAATGGGTTGCGTGACAGAATGACTTATATTGAAATGATATGAAATCGGATGTAACGTCCAACTTTTCTACACCGACTGGGGCACATGCATGCCAATGTGTACAGGGGACTTTGACTTTTATTCCCATCCAGACCACTAGTCACTGTTTCTTTCAAGGCCCTCAATCCTGCACCACAGCCATGGGGAAAACATGCCAAAAATTTCAGAGGAGCTTTCTCAGCCAACACACGGATCGAACCAAGGACCTCCTGGATGGTGAGCTAGAGCCTTACTCACTGAACCACTTTGACTCCAATGACTAATGTTGTTCATGGACTTGTTGGCAAATAAAATGAAACAAAGAAAGATATTAAAATTACGTGTGTTATTCTCAATATATCAAATTGTGTTAAGTGAATTCTTATTTCTGTCTGTTCAGAAGATTATATTTTATAATATTGTAGTTATAGGTATGCTATGAAATAAAAAAGGTGCTTAAAGGGAGATAATTTCATTTATCTGTGCAGGATTTAGGCTACTAAAATATTTTTTCCTTTGACTGTTAATTCTTGTGTCTTCCTCTAGCACTAACTTTTCCCAAATTTTTGGAGGGCTGAAAGCTTTCTACTACAGATCAAGCAAGCTGTGGCAGTGCCTTGGTTCAAAGCTTGTGTGTGGCTGACTGGAAATTTTTTAGATACGCCTCTTGTAAGTAACATACCAGTAAACGGCCACTTACATCATTGGGTAAACATTTCCAAGGATTATTGGTTGTCGCATTCATTTAAGGACTCTAATTTGTACATTGAATGAAATGTGAACTAAGGAAGATGTTTTTTACTTTGTTTCAGACACTATATTTTAAAGGAATAGATAAAGGATTTTTACCATATATAAAATGGGCTGACATAGTTATTTATTCTATATCTACTGCTGTTGCCTTTCATACTGTACGTATAAATGTAGCTTTAAATTCATTTGATTTTGTATGCTCACATTTAATGTGACAGCTGGAATTGAAAACGATAACTTATGGAATACAAGTATGTTTTTTTCTGGAGATGTTTTGATGATGTTACTAAATGCTGCTTAAACAATTCAGGAAGGACAGGCTCAAAAATCACTTGTTCAGAAAGTGACTTATGTATTGTATTCAACATTGTATTGAAACTCATACAATCTTTCTAAAGCCTCACACCATCCCTGGAAAGGCTTATGTAACCTATCTAAGGCCTCCAACTACCAGCCTTTACGATTTTATACCAAAGAGAAAATTTACAACAGTGATTTAATATGTGAATATTGTTTTATTCCAGGCTGCCTTAGAACCTCACAATTTACGTCCAGGGTATTGGAAATTTGTAAACAGAGTCACAGATGATAAGTAAGTTAACGTTCATAGGTCAGTTCAGGCAGCTTAGTGCTCTCAGTTTATCATATTGCCATCCAGTCCTAACGTTGTTTATCTCACCTTATTTGAATTCCAACTGTCAAGGTTTCTTTAATGTGTACATCAATGTATGAACAGGACTTTGGTTTTCCGTCCCATCCAAATGAATAGACCCTGTCCTTGCCAGGCCCTACGTCCCGCGCAACAGACAAGGGGAAACAACGCCCAAAAATGCTGAGGAACTTTTCTCTGCCAACGCTGGGAGCGAACCAGAGACCTCGTGTTTAGCCAGTCTTTGATTTTTAAATATTAACATATTTATTGTTTTTTTAAGGTTAAGTTCTCATAAATAACTAATTAATGGCATGTGAATGGATGGATAATTTCTTTATTAGCGGTAGTAGATGTATTGTAGATGTAGATACATAACTAGCTCTGATTAAAGATGCATAAATTGTTTTCCATAGAAATTACTAATTATGCTTTAAACAGTGAATTATTTTTCACTGAAATTAAAGAGGTTTAGCTCTTTTAAATTACTTTAAAAACTCTAAATTTACAATCTTTTACTGTTAAAAACATATTATCTTTCTTAAACTAGAAATAAAGTCCACTTATTTCGCACCATTATAATTAGAAACACAGAAGATTTATTAATATTTATTTGTTTCAGGTTTCGTCAAATGAATAGAAGACTGATGGATGCATTTGGCGTGAAATCTTCCTTGATGTTTCCTGATTTTTGGCCCAAGTACGACATGAGGTTTACAGATCTTACACCAGATCAAGTGCCAAAGTTTTAAAATGTTATACTGCAATTTCTATGTGTTCTCATTTCACACTGTGAACTTCAATGTGTTCACCTTTCATACTGTGAATTTCTTACATGGTATAATTTCATAGTGTTAATTTGTTAATATCTGTCATTCAAAGAGTTAATATTTTGAATGTTCACTGTGTAAATATTCTCACTTTCTTAAGGTGTTAATATACTCACTTTGTTTATGTTTTCAATATTAATTAGCTCAATGTGATAATATTATCACTATGTTAATCTGTTCAATGTGTTAATATTAATGTGTTAATATTATAATTAATTTAGAAATTATACATTGAACTACAAGTAGGCCGGACAACACAAATTTGTATTACATTTTTAAATAATTAATTTTAATCGGTAATAAATATGAAATAAACACAAGCAATGGTAACCATGTAAAATTTATGTAATTAATCAAATGACTATAATTTAGAAATTGAATATGTAGTCTACAGATAGAAATAATTTAAAAATCTGTCATGGTAAATGTGATCTACGTTTGTGTATTTTCATAGTCTTGTATTTCTATAGTGTACTTTCATGAAATAGTGAAAGAAATGGCCTTTTTGAAGACAACCATCTTGCTCTATGCAATTTAACAATTAGAATATGCAATAAAATCTTGCCCGTTTCTTTTTTATTATGTTTAAATGAAGAATTATGTTACAAATGGCTCCTGAATTGTTTAAATGGCATTTAGTAATTGAATTGGAATACAATTACTGAATAACATTTTGACTAGACTTCTTATATTATATCATTGCTTGTTAAAAACTTGGGAATCCTAGTCAAAATGTCACTCTGTAATAAACAGTAATTTTATTCTGTAGAATTGTGTCCTGTTCATGTACAGAATATTGCTTTAATCCTCTTTCTAGTGATCTCTTGAAACATGGTTAACTTAAAATTTTCTTAGGTTGTCTCTTAAAACTGGGTTAACTGTGAATTATTTGGGAGATCATCACTTTTCGATTTCAATTTAGAGAGGGGTTTAATGTCCATTTAATCATATTTAGAATACAGACCTGACAGTACCGTGCAACATTTATACCCAGTAAGTCGCCTAGCCCAAAACTGTATGTTCTCATTCGACCACAGTTTTTAACTGATCAGAATAAAGAGTGTTTAAGATTTCTTATATATTACTGCTAAGAGTACCTTGAGTTATGTTCCAGCTTAGTTGCAAGCAATTTAATGTCGCTGATCATCATTTTGGGTATTTTTAATCGCTTGAAAACTGCAATATTGTTAAAGGTGAACTCAGAAAGATAAATATTAGTCTAAAATTTGTTCAATTATTTACAAAGATATGATAAATTGTATATTTTGCAACATTTGACAGACGATATAAACAAGCCAGTGCCACCTATAAGTGTTAGGTAAAAATCTTTGGAAGGGCTTATTTTTCTAATCCAACTGAAACAATTTAAAAACATATTAGCCCTGAAGAATTAAATTAGATGTAATCCGAAAAATGCAAAGGACGATGATTGGCTTTAATTAGCAAAAATGTCTTCCGATTTTGAGAACCTGGCTAATTTGTTTAACATTATTATATAGCCAGGAGTTTACGATTTAAAGTGTTGTAACCTTTATTTAATGTTTATGATTAAATCTACTCCTTATCTTCACACTTATATCTTATCAAAACCATTGATAACCACTGGCTTAAAGTGCCAGTGCACCTGGAGACCAATAATCATCCTTATTTATATTTAACAAATATAAGGGCTGAATCTGTTCCTTAAATAGTAATTAGATGATTAAAACTTAGGTTAGATACCATCTTTTATGTATAGAAATGGATTATCTTTCAGTCATCCACTGGCCAGTGGCCAGTAAAAGAGCAAAAAAGATAGTGGTGAGAAACCAATACAAAATAATAACTAATCCAGTACCATATTTTGAGTGGTAAGTTTATATTTTATGTATTAATCTGTGATGATATGGCTTTAAAGTGAATCTAGATTCAATTAAATCTATCTCCTAGACAGTTTATGATGACTTGATGTAGAAGCAAGCTAATATTTAATATACTGAATAATTTAGCTCCTATAGATTTTGTATAATGTATATTATCTTATAATGTTATAATGATACTTTATATCACTAGATCTCTTTTATTTGGGTAAATAGTAAAAGGGTTGATTTAATTATGTTAGATGTTTTGATTGACTTTGTGAAGTGGGAATCTTTAAAGTTTTACATTCACAGATAGAGTCAATGTTGGGATGGAACTGATTTTGTGTTCCACTATCCACAATTTAAAGTAAAAAATGAAACTAAAAATGAAAGAGGTTTAACTGATTATTTTATAAAGAAAGTCAATCTGTATTATGATTTATATATGTTATTTATATATTTGAAATACAATTTTGATATTAAAATATTATATAATATACTGTATTGTACAGGTAAATTGTACTGAATTAATTATTGTTCTGGGGTTGAGGTGCACTCACAACCGTTGATAATACGTATTGTATATAATTTGTATTGTACGGTAGAAGTGTTGTTGGATAAATTATTGGAGTGGCGATGGGGCGGTTCATAGTAGTTAGAGGGCTATTGATCAGCAACAATATGGGGGCTTAGAGGGTAAGACGCTGTCACACTGAACTAACTAGGAGGTATCTGGTCGGTGGCAGATAAAGATTTTAAGGATTATTTGGTGTGGTTTCCCCTTGTCAGTGTTGAAGGGTGGGGGTCTTGCTTTCTCAAAGCATACTGCATTTGATATATTCATTACCCCGGTTGGTAGAATGTCCCTTAATTGGCAGTATTGCAGGACAGAGGTAAAACGGCCTTCTTTAATATTTTTAGTAAATCCAAACTTTCAATTCTATGATGTAGTGGATTTTTTTTTAATTTTCACGCTTAAAAGATATATCAGACAAATTGTAAAGTTGATATCAATACAAAATATTTATAGAAATGAAAATAAATAACACAGATGGAAGTCGTCATTTTATACATAAAGGGCTTGCTGAAAAGTTCTACGCCTATTTTGAAAGAGCTGTACAAAGTCGATGGTTTCCATTTATTTTTCTACACAGCCCCTTCGAGGTTGCCGGTCAGGATGAAATTTTCTTCAGCTACCCTAAAAAAACGTCGTTCACGGCTGATATGACGTCACCATTACTAGGAAAATGAGACCGAGCAAGGTGGATGGGCAATGAGTTAGAAGCCAAAAGCATGGATCGTTACATGGAAATTATGAACAGGAGTATGGTCTTGATAGGACAGGCGCCTTTAGTGAGCATTCCCCGTTGCTTAGCTTTAATAGCTTCACGCAGCTGTCTCAGTAGGTCAGCGTAATAACTTCATTGATAGTCTGGCCTTTTTAAGATAGACTGGTGACTCTGGGTGCTTCTATCGTTTGGACTTAATTCTGGTTGAAAGGGATGAATCCGGGTCTCATCCATGGTTACAAATCTAGGCAAAAATTATTAGGATCTGCTACAAAACGGCGCAGGAATCTGACTCTTTTCAGATCCGCAGTCAAGGGCTTTAAAGGCACCTATCTTGCAGAAACGTTTGTATTCCTAACCCGTTGGCGATAATGTACTCAACCCTCTCATGAGAGATGCCCACAACACTACTGGCAATAGGTCGAGTGCTCAATCGTCGATCAGCCATCACCATGTCATAAAACCACAATGAGTTTGATCTCAAATGATCTTTATTACAGAATGAATTATCATGTACACGACGGGTCAAACAGTAAAACGTATTAATTTTGCACACCAAATCATACACATAGGCACATAAAACCCGAGGAAATAAATTCACGTGTATGATTGTGATGTGTTGTAGGTTTTGGAATTTATGTCTGTGCAATCATTTGGCGGAGGTAATGGTTTGGGTGAGAAAAGGATTCAACTCCATACAGGAAGCACTAGAATCGCCAATCGCTTCCAACGAGGGCTGCAGTTGTACAACTTAAGAAAGTCCAATAAGTTGAAGACAGAGTGACCGAACCCTTTTTGTGGTCACTGCGAGTGGAATTTTTAAAAAAAAAATGCACGACTGGTATTATAGAAATGAAATTGATCGAGCCAAGGTCTACGGATGAATGCTCATTAGGTCGAGTGGTCTATCGGATTACCTTCCGATGGTCGGTATTATTGAACCCATACTGTCTACTCTTAGTATACGTCTAGATTACCACAATTTACCTTTATTACTTTTTTTCTTTCGACAAATAAACTAATTCCCTTCTTAAATTCCTTTGTAATTATCTGGAAGACGAGAGTAATCACGTCAGTCCACTGAGACGATCGATGCGCACTCAATGCTTTGTTCTTATTTCGGTAAAAACCAGAAATGAAGACGCAATTGATGAAAAGGGTTTGAACGGTGGCATTCGGATTTCTATTGCACAGCGAAAACAACCTGTTTGGAGACCATTGTTGTCAAGAACAGAAGCTATAGTTCGGTCTTTTTACATTTGAAAATTTAAACTGTCCTGGATTGGATATTATTGTTTCTGTTCGATTAGAAGAATTGCAAAAGGAAAGTTAAAGTTAGAAATCAAAACTTAAAAGGATACACCAAACGACGCGCAAATTGACATTGTTTGACAGCTATTTTCTGTAATCGAATTCAGCCTGACGTCGGCCAACAGATACCCTGTAATAATGGATGAGAAAACTTTAATCGAAATTAACAGTAAGTAGGCTTTGGGCATTTTAAAATACATCACCTGTCAATTACATAATTCTTTAAATGCTTGCGCCGCTTTCAATGATGCAAGCCACGTGAGGTGGGCATGAGCATAGTAAACTCTGATTTTGCATGAGCTACCAGATTTTTTTGCTCCATCGGAACGACTAGACCATATGCGCACATATTACAGGTCATACAGGCTCTAAGATACCACCCATCTCTTAAAAAGGACCGCATGATGGTTTATTTCCATAAAAACAATATAAAAACATTCCTATTATTTACCGCATTTTAAAGCAGGAATACAACAATTTGCATACATAACCTTTTATGTTCACTGGCTGCTAACAGTTATTAGGAAAATTTATCACCGAAACTGTTATCTGAGAAATTGTCATGGGTTCTATCCAATATTTGAACGCGACAAAGAGTAGGGTCTGCTACCCCCCCCCCCCCCGCAAAACAATATATATATCAGCCAAAAAATGGCCCAGTGCTGTATAGTATTTACAGAAATATGATGAATTCAAAATTTGTCGACATTCAGTATCCACGGCAGACAATATATAGGATATAGTCAACGCAGTCCAGTGTCACCTTTAAATTTCGCTGAACTCTTTTGATGGATCGCTTTTTAATCCGATAAAATCCGAGCTGGGAGATATTTTTATTTTATCTTGAATAATAAAATTTTGATATTTTTGCCGAAAAATGAAAATGACCACCAGGGACATTAACAAAACGACGTTACGATTTCATACATTACACTTTGTATTATTACAATTGGTTAAGATCAACATTGTTCAATTTTTATTACTAAAAAGTGGTATCCATCCTAACTAGACACTTATATTCAAAACTTCATATTTCTGCCATAGCCATTTTGTTAGATACATGTATCGGTGGCGATTATGGATGTCGGACTTCGATTTTCATATCACCAGGGAATGCTGGATTCATGACAACAGAATAGACAGTTCCGGGGTTTAAAACACGCTTTGTGGACAAAACCTGGAACAGACTGTTTACTGTTATTGCGGAACGTCCATGTTTGTTCAAGGCTTCGGTAGCAAGAACGGTTTTGTTCAAATCTTCATATGGTGGTCGCTCCCAGTGGTCAAAATTTGTTTGGACATCAAACCAGTGTCCCTGTGTGGCGTTGATGTACCAAAGGTTATCCGCCTCGACTCGGTCCTTCGTGATGACGACAGCTTCATTACCAGAAATTCCAGCCACGGCTAAATAGCCCTCTGCTTCAGTATCCGTATTTGACAGAGATTGCACAGCTTGTGTAAAAGTTTGCACTTTTTCTAAAGTATCTCTCACCAAGAATGACATCGGTTTGGATTTTCTGTCCAATAAAGCTTCTAATATAGTTAACAATACGTTATCGATATTTCGAGTGTTGACGGTTATTGAGTATGCATTTGGTTTCTGCCCGGAAATGATTCCCACATATCCAGCGAAAGTAGCCGCAGAATAAACCGTTTTACCACCTCGTTGAAAGTCTACAAGAATCACTATATCACGTAGCTTGCTGGAAAATTGAGGAAAATCCAAATTCCTAGCGTGCCAAATAACTCCTTTAGCATCCTCTAATACGATACTAGTACAAGCACCACCCAGTTCAAAGAGGAGATTGGACATAACTACTTCTCCAAGACTCATATTGAGAGCTAGGGATATTCCTCGCATTTCATCCGCGTATGGTTGTGGTATGTACTGATCCAGCTCCGTTGCTACAAAATCCACAACAGCTAAAGCATCATCAAACAAATTCTCTAGCAAATCGTGCATATCTCTTACGGCCTCTTTATAACGCGGAACGACATCGTTCCATCGTTGCATCGCCGGTAAATCGAGATTCACTGAATATCTTCCAGGAGTTGTTGGTGTATCCGATGAAACAGAAATAATAAGTAAAAGTCCAAGAAACAAATCTGTAAACGTCATTTTCGGATTGGATTGGAGACACTGATGAACTGTTTCCAGAACCAATACGGTTAGTTCCTCTGTTAATAACGCTGTACAACTGAATATGTCAACTCCGAGAAAAGAAGGACCACGTTTCACAAATCGTGATAAAGATAAGCACAATCTTAGATTGATCTACATATACAATAGTGCTATCAACACCATTGGAAAAACTGGAATGGATTGGGGTTTACGTCTGGTTGCCACTATAATTATGTCGTCCAACACACGGTGCTTCACACCTTTTATTTTCAAGGAGTATAGCACAGGATCATTAAACCGGAGAGTTGGTCAAGAAAGTTCACAGAAATTTTCCAACGTAATTTTCCCAAGTCAGTGGTGCAGGATGAAGGGCATCGCCAGGAACAGCGTCGAAGACCCGATATCCCATGTACACATTGGCGAGCACATGAAATAACTCTTGACAATTTGAATTTGGTGAAGGGTCCCCGAGTAAATTTCCCTCATAGCACACTGCATGGCATATGCTCATCTTAATTAATTATACCGGTTGCTTCAGAAAAGTTGTCCAACCTCGTGGGTTTTCTCGGGGTCCTCCGGTTTCCTCCCACTGCTAAAGCGAATTATTGAAATAAAATTGAACCATGTTTTAGTCCCGAAATGACCTAGTCTGTGTCGAGTGGGCGTTAAACTCCATTTCTCTCTCTCTTGTTCAGAAAGGTAGAAACCTAAACCCATGTATACGTCTTCTGAGTGACATTATTCAATGCAACATCGCAAATCGCCGCGGAAAACTAGAATCAATTGCCTATAGGTTGTGTTCTTATTTTCAGGTGACGAAGAGCAACAAGAACTTCCTTCAATGCAAAGAGATTTTGTTGTAGATTCTTGTGGAGAAGAAACATACGTACCAGTAAATAAGAACAGAGGTAGGCCTGTATTAGCACTCGGAGTCAACCAACCAACAAACTTAACTTCGTAACTCCCTTTATGGTTAAAGGAGCTAAACTTTCTTTGATAGGGTAAAATTGAATTGGGGTGAATGTTGAATCAATCTGAAGTATTATTTCGATTAGTTACGTCGCAAACTCTATTTGATTTTGTTTTGAAGGATTAAGTGAAAGTCGGCTTCTTTTCTAATTTAAAAAGATTTTTTTTTGTTTACTGTGTCGACGACAGTAAAGTATAAAGTCGGTTATAACTCCAAACTGACTTTATCTAGAGACGTAAAATTATCACCCCACACAATTAAAGAACAAAAATTCTAATGTAATCTATTATCAATGAGGTCTAGTCATTGTAAACAACATTTCAACATGTAAAACATAAATTATTGATACGTTTTTTAAATTTCATATTAAACCTTGAGTGTGCGACTGAAATATGTTTCCCCACATATTAAATCCGAATCCCGATACGTGTGTAACTGTGAATTCGTCTGATGGCGTGGACTTCTATTTATCTAATACTACTTCTTATTTGACGAATTCTCATAGTCACGTTACTAAAATACCATTATAACAGGTACAGGTACAACAAACGTTGTGTGATCGGCCCAAAATGGAAAGATGCCAAGGGATCTTTTACGTACACACCTATGTGTACATGGGACCTCGGTTTTTTGTTCCAACCGAACAACTAGACAGCTATCATTGTCATGCCCTCCTTCCTGCACCACTGACAAGGGGAAACCACGCCGGAAAATCCCGTTGAACTTTCTCGGCCAACACCGGGAGCGAACCCTCTAAATCCAGACTAGCAAGCCAGAGTCTTACTTACTTAGCCACCGCGGCTCACCTAAAATGGGAAGTGGTATCATGTGATCCTTATAGGGTAAGTAAACCCTGCCACGTAAACGATACTCGTAACTTTCTGCAGCTAAATCAGAGTTAGTTTAAACCAACATTTTTTCCACGAGTCAGAAACATCCGTTACATCCTGAAGATACGAATCGGTACAGAGAATCTGGATTAGACGGGTGCTTGTTTGGAACAAATCGGGGTGGGGGTATATAAATCCGGATTTGTGTGGAATGTAACATCTAATATCATTTAACTCCAAAAGTACTTAGCCAGTATTACGCCCCCCCCCCCCCACGTGTAATGTCAAGTTCGAATCTTACATATGCCACCAATTTCCCGCGATTTCGTTATTTTAAGAATATCACCCATGAGATTTAAATCCAAGAAGTGTCAGTACTGTTATGACGCCGGCTCGCTATCCTGAAGGTCGCGTGTTCGATCCCTGCATTGGCCGAGCAGGTTTATCGGGATTTTCCGACCAGCTTTCACTTTGTCCATGGTGCAGGACGGAGGATCTGATAGGGGCAGCTGTCTAGTTGTTCGGATGGGACGAAACACCGTGGTCCCGTATATATATTCGCATGCACGTAAAAGATCGCTTGACAGTTGGAATTCGATATAAGAGTAGGCCGTAGCGCCGTTGTCTGGGCGAAATTACCCATAGTAAACAAGCTCTGAACTATTTAATAGATGTCCTAGTGGCCGGACTGAGATCGCTAGATCACAGCATTTATTCTTCTTTCATTCCTTTGCAGGTATTCTCCAGGTAAAGTCATTTTCGATTGAACGTGGTTTTGTGAAGGACTCATATGGCGAAGACACTGTGATACCATTGGCTCATACTCAAATCATTCAGGGTAAGATGAGGGAGAGAGAGAGAGAGAGAAATGGGGTTTAACGTCCACTCGACACAAACTAGGTCATTTCGGGACTAACATATGGTCTCTCTCTCTCTCTCCCTCTCTCTCTCTTCAGCCACGACCCACTGACTCAATACTCAGTTATTGATGCCGAGTTTCTTGAAATGACTAGACCTCTTTGATTTGGGTCGAAAATAAAATTATCAGTTTCGTCCGATTTCACCTGTTGAATTCTTTCCTAGGGTGAAAAATGCGACTTCCTTGAAAATTTGAGAAAGACATGAGCGATATTATTACGTTCGATTGTCGACACAGTAAATCAAAAAAGAAATTAAATTTAGTAAGCAAACCGACTGGCCAAAACAACACATCAGATCAACCTAAGCCAGTTCAGATCTAGTGATTCAGACATTAAATTTGTTATACGGGTTCGGATGGAATGGAATGAAGTTTAACGTCTCGCTAATACAATACGTCAGTATTCGTCAGTCAATTTTAGACTAACATAGAGTTAAAGTTTATTATATCTGTATGCTCAGTTGTGCGGGTAAGTAAATTTTGCGGGTAGGTTAACTGTTGATCAAATTTTACCGACTACGAAAATGACAACAGCATAAATTTCACGAGAGGTATTAGCTATTCCGGCCTATTATTAACCTATTTCCTTCTCCTCTTTTCAGATATTCGAAGCTTAACTTTGCATGGTGCGAAAAAATCCAGTGAATACGAAGACCTGTCACTGGATGTAGCCACTGGAAACCTGGTCAATCCAATAGAACCATCGTCAAGTCCCCAAGTCCTTCACAGAGTTTCATCATCATCGATTACACAAAACATGCTGTATCTGGTGGACATCACCTCAGATGACCCCATCACTCCTGCCACGAGTCCCAATAATGGAGAGGATATCTCATTTGATTTCAAGGAGGTTGAGAACGCCACCCTCATAACACAGAGTAGTAACATTATGGAGCCTTCTTTGGTCAACTCAGCATGGCATAGCGATTCGGGGGCACCACTCAACGGACCACACCCCGGCTGCTCACAGGTGACTTTTACAGACATGACATGGACAGACGACGATTTATTGCTAGAGGAAGAATTATTTACCAGAAAAAAATCTAGATTATACAGAGCCGAATCCGTTCAGGTTTCTTCTGCAGAGACCGAACATTCGTCAAAACGACGTCGTAATTTCCAGATTCGAACACAAAGCGTTCTAGACTACTGAATTCTATTTGCCCCCTTTGGTTTCCCGTCTGTCGAACACTACATTAGGTGCCCTTTGTAGGGGTGGAACTGCTACTGTCACTACAGCATTTTCACTGTTGAATCTCAACGTAATTAAAATGCGATTAAAATTTCGTTTCGTTTATAAATTCTGATCGCTATTCTACATATTTAATCTAACCCACAACCGTGTTCTGTCGTTGTTAGTTCCCTTATATCAAATAGTCAAACTTCAACGTGAAACCCAATGATGGAATCTTGGGTTAGCTACCCAATAGACAGGACTATTAAATTGTTAAAGGCAAGTGAAGAAACGTAAATGTTTGAATGTTGGTCAAGGGCGTGAATTTGTCATAACTGTTGTTTTTTTGTTTGGGGGGGGAGGGTGGAGGAACGAACCCTGGAACCGGGAACACGAGATACAAAACCAAAATAATAATTACGAACAGTTTACTGTACCATTGTTATTTCGATGGAAGCTGTAACTAGGGGTAATATGATGACGATATGGAAAAGTTGAAAATTGACTACCTACATCAAAGCTGCACACATATTATTTGTTCGTGAAGTTAAGTGAATCGTACAAGTTCATTCTACGATCAAGACTGTTCTCTATGAATATCTTGGCGATATGCTTTGGGTCCTGTTCATTAAGCACCGCACATACCATCAGGTGGTTCAGTCGTTTTTGCGTCATGGAGTTGCGAAGCCAAGTTTTGATACGGCGCAGAGTGCTGAAGGATCGCTCGGCTGAGCAGAAACTAGCAGGGTTAAGCAGTGTGAGACGGAGAAGAGCTTCGACAGAAGGGAACATCTGCCTCACTTAGGAACGCTTCGTGCAAAAGTGAAATAGATTTGTCCGAAGACTGGCGTTTGCAGAATGGCAATTCTTCTTCCAAGTCCCGATTCAGTTCCGGATACGTAGAAACAAGCTCACCATCGAATTGTCCAGATACCAGCATTTCCGTTAATTTACCGTAGCTGGCCAATCCAGTCAAGGTGAAGTAATGTCCAAATTATTTATGGCTGCATCTAGCAATTTTGAAATATTGCCAAGGGATTGGTTAGCTAGCCTTCAGAACGGGACATTCATGTGGATATGAACCTGAAAAATATGTCCTGGCTATCAAAATCATGGGGAGGAGGGGGGGGGGGTCAGATACCTATTCGCCTCCCCCCTTCCAATGCCCCGCCTCCCCCTCCCCTAAATTCACGCGCATGATGGGGGGTATCCCAAATGAACGCATTTCTTGTACGCCTAGCAGAGCAAGTCGAATGTCGCTGTGAATTAATCCAGTCTTCTGCCAATCAGTTTCGATGACCCCGATCTTGAGCAATTCAGTGGCGTACAGCATTGGCACTGACCCCCTTAAGCCTTGAATAATGCTCAACGAAAATTATGACCCGGTCTATTAACTGTCTCAATACCCACACAAACCCCTTTGTTGTGAACAAAGATGATTAATAAAGTTACATTGTAGACCCTTAATCCATGATTTATACTTGTTGTAATTAGTATATTGTAAGTGCAGGACCACGGCACCGTCAATAATAACAATACGCTATTAAACCGTGTTTGATTACCATGAATCCGATTCTAGATTCATAATCTATTCTGTTTGTTTTGCACAAATGTTCAAATCCCAATATGGGGGGTTGGATGGCTGAATGGTTAGCGTGCGCGCGCTGTATCATAAAGTCTGTCATTGAGTCGACTGGCGTGGTTTCGAATCCCCGGTTGTACGTGGCAAGGAGTAGGGTCGCCTGTCCAACCTCGTGGGTTTTCTCCGGGTCCTCCGGTTTCCTCCCACTGCTAAAGACCCCTACGCGCAAGCGAATTATGTAAATAAAATTAAACCATATGTTAGTCCCGAAATGACCTAGTTTGTGTCGAGTGGACGTTAAACCCCATTTCTCTCTCTCTCTCTCAAATCCCAATATGCGAATCTATGATTTTCATGACAAGGCATCGGGTCGCCTGCCTGTCCTTGTAGAAATTCTCCGGATGACCCGGTTTCCTCCCATTGCTAAAGAGCTCTAATTATTGAAATACAGGTGTAGATAATATGACAGTCCCGATATAACCTACTTTGTTGAGTGGATGTTAATATCTGTGTCGGTCTGCCTGTCCTTGAATATGAACACGGATTGGATTCTTCGTAATCAAACACATCGTTATGCGCCCCACCCCCTTTGCTTGTCGTAATAGGTAAGTACCAATATGATTAAAATACAGATTCTATTTCGTTTCGTTTTTGATGGTTCATAATTTCGTTTTACTTGTTTTGTGGAGGCCGTCGTCGGTATAATCAACGAAATGAAATATAGATCTGTATTTTAATCAGATTTAATAAGTAGAAACCATTAATTTAAAAAAAGAGACCACTGTATTCTCAAGAACACATTCCTGAAGCAATAGCCGGGTAAATCCCTCTCCAACCATTGCTGTACTGACACCTAAAACTGACACCTATTTCTATCGTCCAATCAATTCTCTGTTGAGTAGTGTGAATCTATATTCAGCAGCCATTCAAGGTAATTTTCATGACGGATCAACCACCTAATAAAATCTCAGCGTTTGTTAGTACTGATATCAAGTAAAATTTTACTCTTGGATGAACCAGGAGCAAACATACTCGCATCGGTAAATTTGCCCGTTGCTGAAACTCGCTAATGGAATGGAAATTCTTAGACTCAAATCTCCGATATAAATTTGTAAACGTGTCTGTGTGTACAAACATTAATTACTCCCTACCTTTGTTCTGTATTCGTTTATATAATATTTATTTATTTTTGTGAAGAAAATCCATGAATTATTTTTATCAAAATAAAAAAGCAGTCATGTCAAAAAAAACTGTAGGAAGTCGTATTTCTTTCCAGTTTGTTGAAAGACAATACGTGTCATGTGGTCTTACCTAAATATTTCGGACATTTAATTAAATGTATTAAATGATTGTGAAAATATCCTTCGTCTGCTGTGTGGTCCAATAAAATGACAGAGTCCAAGTACGGCGTCGTGGCTAATTTGGATAGCCTCTTTTGCCACCATCATCGGTAACCCCAGTGTTCTCATCCCGTTCCACTCCACTAACCCCTGGGTTCATCCATGGGGAGACACCTATTAAAATTATCTTCCCTTGATGATTGTTCTATTTTTATCAACCAATCAACCAAATCATACATAAAATCCGATATAAAAACATCTTTCCCATTAAAAATATCTTTTAGGACATCCTTTCGTGCTTATGTCACTTCATTTATATTAAATGTCTTGCAAACTTTCTCATAATCGAGCAAACAAGGCAATGAAATGAAATGGGGTTTAACGTCCTACTGTTCTGGGGCCTGTTTCACGAAATTTTAACTAAGATAGAATCCAAATTTTAGTAATTTGATTGGATAATATTAGATTGCTTTTAGTGCTTAGCCAATCAAAACTGAAGTATCTACTAAAATTTGGATTTTATCTTTAGTTACGATTTCGAGAAACAGGGCCCTGCTCCTATACTGGGCTAATGAAGATGGGCATACGCTATACAGTGTGCTATGAGGGAAATTTTGCCCGGGCAGCGGCACTATCGCCTACTCTTATATCGAATTCCAACTGTCAAGGGATCTTTTACGTGCATTCCAATGTATGCACGGGACCTCGGTTTTCGTCTCATCCGAAGGACTAGACAACTGTCCTTGTCAGGCCCTCCGTTCTGCACCACTGACAAGGGGAAACCACGTCGGAAAATCCAGATGAACTTTCTCGGCCAATGCAGGGATCGAACACCCGACCTCCAGACTAGCGAGCCAGCGTCTTAACCACCTAGCCACCGTGGCTCCCAGCAAACAAGGCGCTATAGTATTGTGAGCGTAAACAATGAGACTAAGACTGGTTTTAAACTGTTTTTTGATCGATTCGTAGAATCAAGTAACGATCAAGCCAGGATAATTTTAATAAAGGGAATACCCCTTAATGAACCCAGGGTATGATGGAAGAGAACGGAATGACACCACTGGGGATACCGGTGATGCTTTTGCCACACGGTTAATTATTCTGCAAAGTACTAGTTTTGAGCATAATACATTTCGCGCGGTATGGCTTAATGCAGCCGCGATTGTCATTATCAAACTTTATGTTAATACCGATTGATTTTGTTACTCAGTAATGTATTGGCCAGCCATAATTTGGGACAGAAATTTGAGTCCCGCAGTGTATGAGTGGGATTAGGTCTGTCTAAACAAGAACTATATGACCCTCTCTTATTGTACATTACTGCATAAACCAGCACAATTCATGTATGTATGTATGGATATTATAGCTCAAAGATTGTGGAAATTGGACCGTAACTTCCCTTTAAAATTACCCTTCCCCTTTAAGCAAATAGTGTCAAAGAATGCAGTTATGCGTGCATGTATGTATATTAAAGATTGTTGAAATCGGACCGTAACTTCCAGTTTAAATTAGCCCTCCCCTTTATGCAAATATTGGCAGAGAATGTAACACATATATCGTAGAGGCTATAGTTTTTAAAGGATTCTGTTAAAATTTCCGAGTTATGTCCCCTGCCTTTTACGTAAAACGTGGATGTCGTGGCCCACATAACAACATGATGTTAAATTTACGTAAAGTTTATTTAATGTTAGATTTACGTAAAAATGGTCAGTCACTTTACCATCATTTTGCTCATCTTTTTAACGATAATTTTACGTCAGGAAATGACATTAATCTAACGTAAACTGTACGTCATTTTCTCAGGTATATCTAAAGTAAAGTTTACATCATTTTCTGACGTAAATCTAA